CGTTCCGAAATGATATGTTCAAAAAAAAGACGTGAAACGCACAAGAGAATGACCGAGGCAATTAGACTCTATATCCCGATCAAATAAGCTAAAAAGGGACGAAGAAGCGAATGCGTAAACGGATCAAATGTTGAGCATCTCCAAGAAAAGACCTGGTGCGGAGTTAGTCCCTTTATAAGAGCTCCTCGGGAATAGAAAACCAGAGGCGCACGGCAGTCTTTCATACAGTGAGAGTCGAGAAGAGAGCGCGTCGATATTCTCCCTCAGTGAGCAGACCTTAGCACCGGGTACATTCCTCACAACAGAAAGGCGACCTTCGTCGCCGCCGATGTCCACTTCCACAAGCGCAGACGCAAATAGCCTAATAAATCCCCCGTTTGTCGGGTTCTAGGTAAACCAGCCAAGGTACCAATCCAAAGTGCGCGAGCTTCTCTCGAATAGCAGCAGACAAGAGAGAACGGCTCGAGATATAGTATTCCCCTTTGAGCTGGTGGTGTGCAAACTGGCTGCAAATGAACTGTGGATGAGAGTAGAAAAAATAAGAAAAAACGATGATATCAAATGAACAAAAATAAAGATCAACTATGAAAATGAAAGGAAACAAATCAACTCAAATGAAAGTTATCATACTATGGGTCCCTTTCAGTTGCAAAATAATTGCTGTGGTTTGAATCCTGCAGATCCGAATGAAATGCTTGGCGAAAACGTAGGGATGCTTGAATGCTGCGCCGAGCCTGGATTGCAAGTAACTGCAAGTGACCGCGACTCGGAATATTTGGCAGAGCTTGTTCTACAGTGACTCCTCCCACGTTGATGTTCATTGGGCAGATCTCCGAAAGTCAATAGGAATACTCCTGTCAATCAAACGAAGCAGCTCCGCAACTGGTTCAACTGCAAAACAGCAGTATTAGCTAATGGTATAGAATTGGAGTAAGCAGTCGAATCACGTTATATTGTATCAATAGGCCTAGTGCATTGACCAAGATAGATATTTTATCTAAAAAACGGTCTTTAAAATAAAGTGCAATAGAAGAAAAAAAAAAATGTAAAGTGCAATAGGTTATGCATGACACTTATACAGTACACTGAGAACATCACTTTAGGCAACATGAAGTATAGGTCTAACCTTTATCATACTATAGGTGAAGTGGTAAAATTACCAGGGGAAATGAGAATTGGATCATGATCTGTAATAGCCAACCTCTCACATCGGAACACTTTATGAAATTATCGGAACACTTTATGAAATTCCTACATTATTATAAAAATGCCCCCCCAGAAAGTCGACACAACATGCACGACTATTTTCTACATGTGCTTTTGTCAAATAGAAATATTCCTAATGTGAAAATGTATCATAATGTACATCAGATTATATCTAAAATGTCCCATATTAGGATCCACATTGTGCGCCTCACACGACATCGCATAGAAGCCAAGTTTTTTCCAAAAGGCAACAGCGCACACTAGCGGATGCGCGAATGAAGAAGGGTGAGTCAAAGTTTTGAACCATCGAATATTTATTTCATGATGTTTTTATGCAAATGTTTGATTAACATTTACCAATAAGTTATTTGAAGAGTGATTCTAAATCTTTATTAATTTATCATCAACAAAGATGGCTATTATAAAACACAAATCTTTGTCTTATGGTTTCCGTGTTTGATTTATTTCCAACTGCAATTCTTTATTTTATTATAATTATTATAATTAGGCTATTATAATAATTATTATTATTATGTTATTTCAAGTTTACCACCACCAGTCCACAACAATGTGATATGTAGATAATAGGCCTATAGAACAAATGTATTTTTTATGAGACTCACCTAATGTAACCTAAAATGTACTTTGTAGACTAACCCGGTAAATTGAGACAGCTCAAGGTAGCCTGTCATTTAGTTTAATGGACGCTGATTTGATGAGTCATTGCAACCCACACACCTTTCCAAACTAAATTAGGCCTAGATGTATCAGTCCAAACGTGTGAAGTTGACACTTTTGAACAGTTTAATTTAATCAGTGGTGTATTTAAGGCTACAATTGCTTATTGCACTGTTTGTTTAGCTGATAATCAACGTGGTGAAGTCGCACTAGATAGATAATTGGGGGTCAGGGTGGAATGCGGCGGCCGGGTTCCGATTCTCTTGACTGGAATCAACACACCGCAGTGTGACTGTGACAACCTTACCCGCCAGGCTACACAGTTAGAATGCCCGCCGTCGAGTTGATGTTTATTGGCGAAAATTAAGAGCATTAGATAGGCTACATTTAAATGAAAGATGAATGAACGGTTAAGGAGGAATAACAAAAGATCGAGATAAACATGTTAATGTAATAAAGAAACGGATGCCAGCATAAAGTGCTAATGTTACACTAAAATAAATTCATTGTTTCTTAATTGTATGGGCCTAACGTTTCTTGTAAAGTCATCAAATAAAAAGTACAGCCTATATAAGACGCTTAGCCATTTTACCTTCCCTGAATACACAATAGGAAGAGTGTCCTGAAATAGTGTCATGAGTCCAGATAATATCCTGCCTTCGGGAGAAGAGAGGAAGCGGTGAGTTCCTCAGTCTTAAAAATACCCCCTTACCTTGCTAAAATAAGCCGTGAACGATCGGTAATGACTGCTCTACTCTTTTCAGTCAGAAAGTCTAGCAAGGGATTGGGAAATACACACAACCTCTCTTCAACACATTGGCTGAGAATCTGAATACTGCCTTACACTTTTATAGCACATTCAGCTTCAAGGAAAACGAATTGTAAGAGAAATTTGAGAGTTTTGTGAAGCCTATAATAATTGAATTTGTCCATTGTGAAATAGGCCTCAGGTGAAAGGCCTTATTGCATAGGCCTAATAATAATAATAATGCATCTGTTGCCAGGATTTATGCCTCCTTACAATATCAAAAAGGTTTACATTAAAACACCAGATTAGGATTATTATCATATGTAGTTTAGCTAGAATAAGTCTCTAATCAAGGACGTATAGGCCTTTGAAAACGTTCAAACTTTCCATCTGTAATTAGCCTTGAATTGCAGTACTAGGCTATGAAAAGTCAATAAAAACAATAGGCCTAAAGCATTGCGTTGTTAAAAGAGCACTAACATTAATATAAATAAGTGTGTGACATTGTAAAATATCTTTCTCTAAAACTATATATAGTGGCTTAAACTGAATTTCATGTGAGGCTATCACTGTGGGTATCTGTCTGTAAATTGCTGGAAAACCTGTTTGGCAAAAATATTTGGGCAGAAAATAGACTACCAATTAAAAAGTGTGTGTTGCTTTTATCTTTACATCAAATCAAATCAAACTGTATTTGTCACATGCGCCGAATACGTAGACCTTACCGTGTAATGCTTACTTACAAGCCCTTAACCAACAACGCAGTTCAAGAAAGAGTTAAGGAAATATTTACCAAATAAACTACATTAAAAAATAATAAAAAGTAACAATAAAATAACAATAACGAGGCTATATACAGGGGATACCGGTACTGAGTCCATGTGCGGGGGTACAGGTTAGTCGAGGTAATTTGTACATGTAGGTAGGGGTAAAGTGACTATACATAGATAATAGACAGTGGGTAGCAGCATTGTAAAAACAAATGTAAATGTCAATAGTCCGGGTGCCTATTTGATTACATAGCCTACGTATTAAACAAAAAACGAATAGACTTGATGTGGCTATATGCTCCATATTTTCTCACTTGAAAGGCCCTCTAACCAGCGGGACTGAGTTCTCATGGGCCGTACCTTTGTTTATTCAGTTGCTCCTTAGTGTTACCAACTTAAAACAGAGAACATCGCAGGTCCACGCTGAGCCTTTATCGTGATCAAACGGAGTCCTGCTGAACTCCCTATGCACCCTGTCGCTGAAAGCACACTTGCCAGTGAAAAGTGACCTATAGCCTACTCTATTATTTCCCAAAGTTTCCCCGGACCTAATGCTTCGTTTCAGCGATGATGGGCACGTTCAGTTGTGTTACAATAGTGTCATATTTGTTTTGGCACTTAGTTTCTGTGTGCGTGTGCGATAGAGAGATCATCACTGTCACTTTTTACCCTGGATGGCTATATAGTCGAGGTTCCAGCGAGGGTATGATGGTGGTTACTCACGCATGGACGGTCGCGTTCACGTCCAAGGTTTGTAATGTCAAATATGTCAGTTGAATCTTGGGGCAAGAGGTCCTGTAATGCACCTGGAAGTTCAGTGACTCCGACACTCCCGTCAGGTCCCTTCTTCCAAAGAAGTCACCTGAGTAATTACAAGCACATTGTTGACTTGACATTGATAAATAGGACCCACAGAGAACGTAGGAGTCACTGACAGATAATTGATTTTGCTACTATATTGTGTAATAACTTGCTGACAGCTTCAAGATTTTGTCAATACTTTCATTACTGTATGCATTTTGACCGGACAGCCTTGCCATTAAAAGGGATCAAATCAAATTATCCAAGCCACGCGGAAATTACGCATGCATTCAAAGGTGTGAGGAACAATAATTACCATGGGCCCACAGAAGAGTTGAGAAGTCGATGTTCAATTAAATTAGCCAATCATGAACCTCAATTTACATGACTGCAAATACCAACTAATTGTCCAAATACAAACTAATGTATTTTTAAAATGCAGTGCAAATCGCAATCCTCCTCTCAAAAATATCTAAACCATTAATTTTAATTAACAATACCTGTTATTCTTTGACAAGTAAATATAAATGTTATCATATACATTACTGAGAGGTAAACAGGTTTAACTCTAAAAAGGGGTTACAAACTGTAATCCTGCTCAAAGGTAAAATCCCCTGGAAAGTGTGTGTGGGATCATGTAAGGAAATCCATTAGCAAAAAGTGATACATTGGCTGCATCTTCTGCACCTACATTTTTTACCAATCAGATATTTTGCCAATAATTGGACAAAAGATCAGAATTGGGCTGCATGTGTAAACTCAGCAATTCTGAAATAACCATAGACTGAAAACCACAATCAGAGTTGTACGCATTCAATGGATTTATTGGTGAATTGTTCAGTTCCAATTAACACATCAGGAAATTACCACAAGACAAGTTTCACTTACTCAAGAAGCCCCTTAACCCTACCAGAGATCAGCCAGTCAGACATACTGTCACACACACACACCCACACACAAGTCCAAACATGCACATACACCTGGTCAGACCTCAACATGTAGCTAGTCAATCTTACCTGGACTTGGACATCCTTTACGAACCAATAGTCATTTGAAGGGGACCCTTTTAGGGCGAGGTTAATATACTACACCAAAACGAAGGAACAGAGGTGCACTGGTCGACCGTCTACTTTACTTGAGAGCACAATTCACTCAGCGATTGCACAGTAAGAGTTCAGTAAAATGATGCAAGATTATAAATCCCTGTCGCTTTGTCTTTTGTTGTTGTTGTGTGGATTCATTTCATACATTTATCTCACAGGAGTAGGACACCAAATCACAGCGATTCTAATATTACATCATACAGGAAACGTCTGCCACCCTCCACTCCCCCCTCCTGACCATGGATGAGAAGCATCATATCCTGTTCCAACCCCGGAGCGGCTCTATGGGCAGTTTGGGAATTGGCCTCGGTTCACCTGTGCAGCAGTGCATCTTTGTTCACATGCTAGGTTGTTCTATTTGATGCTAATCTATCGAGGAGCAAAACATTGTAGAAACGTCGTAAAAACGTGAGGATCAATCATCAGAGCAGATGTGAGGTGTAGGGAGGTGGAAGACAATTCTGTCAGCTAAAGTGGAGGTGACTGTGTGCTTTACTGCGTATGCTACCCCTGCCTCGTCAGCTTTCTACGTTAGACACACATGGCACAGGAAAACCCAGGCCAACTCCCAAACCGCCCACAATATTGTAATGAGCTTCAACTGGACACACACACACGTTATGAGTTTCTATCCTAGCTTGCTTACTGTTCAAAGTACGACCTAAGTAAGGTGAGGACCAAGTAGTGACAGCTTTCTATACGACAGTTCAAATCCTTAAAAATGGAAATAAAACCCCCCAAAATAGCAAACAATAGTCACTGGGGGGAGGGGGCGAGGAAGGGGGAGGTCAGGGAGCAAAACAGTCAGGTGTTTGACGGTGTGCGGGCCTCCCTCCCTCCAAGGCTTGGTTGGGAAAGGTCTGTAAAGCAGGGCGGTGAATGACAGGAGAGGAGCCATGCCTCTTCCAGCGCCGTGGGCTGCCCTTCGTTCAGCCTTCCACACTTAAACACACAGCGAACGTTCCAGAGAGGAGGAGGAGGAGGAGAGCGCTGGGGGGATGGAGGAGTGCAAGAGAGGAGGGATGAGAGGATCATTCGGTGGCCTTGAGGGAGAAGGAGAGCTTGGGCCGGGACTTTCCCTTGCCCAGGATCATTTTCTGCTCCTCCTTCTGCTGCCGCTGGCGATCCTGATCCAGCTTCATCCTCTCCTCATGAATCTTTCTCTGCTCCTCTACGATACGCAACTGCTCCTCGGCCTGGTGGAGAGACACACACAGAACAACGGGGTCAGTTTAGGATAGAGAGATCCTGCAGTGCCAAAATGCCACAAACTGTTTGCTGTTACTTTGATAAACTGTTTGATATTAGCCTTGAGATATTACTATAATCTGTTAGTTTTTGTGTGTTGCTTTTTGCCTTGTTTACTACAATCTTGGCGTGTCCATGTCGTGTCCAAATCAAATAAATCTTACAAATTAGTTAAGTGCCAGGCAGAATATAAACAGGCAAGGGAAAAACAATGATTGTTAAGGCTACTGATAACCATCAATACAAAGCCTATGCCAGCATGCAATACTATGTTGTACTTGAGTTGTGTTTCTCATAGTAACCCTGGAAATGTACGTCAATCACCTCAATTTCATAACAAAAATGCCAACACCACTTTTGCATGAAATCTACGACGACCACGTATTTCAATATCAACACAACCACATTTCATCGTAGAATTGCCCCGTTTGCATTTGGGGTTTGGGAAAGTAGCTAAATATATTTATCTTTGTACAGAACAGAGGAGAAGCAGACATACCAGCTTGGCCTGAGCGTCGGCAATCTTGCGGTTATTCTCCTCCAGGATTTTCTCCAGCTCCTCCCGTTTGGATGTTTCTTCCTCCTAAAGGGGTGACACGATGGCATGTTAGCGCACGCACAGGCTACGGCCGCACAGCATCCCTGCACACACACGCACTCCCAAACATACACACACTTACACATCATTGACCTCTCTTAACATACACACACACATTGGCACACTCACTTGTCTTCATCCAACCACAAAGGAGTCTGCGCAGGCTCTCCCTCGCACATCATAACCACTCTTTCCCATTCTTTCACGCAATCAACCGGAATGCTTTTAGAACACAGGAGAACAAAATATATCAAAAGGGAAAAATAACCCCCCTTTTTTTCTCCCGCTATTCGTGACAATACCCTCCCATATAGGAATCACTCAATCACACCTTTAGCCTTCACTGAATCAATAAGACATTAAAAGGGAAACCCACTCGGCACACTCATATAATAGATAGAAAAACAGATAGAAAAAGACAAACATTCTAAAAAATCTATTTGCCTCTTTTTCTTATCATCATCATCATCAATAATAAAAGAGAAAAAGGATACAAAAAAGGAGTGAATAGTTTTGGCTCACCAATGTACGTATACCTACGCATTTTCCTTGCCTGTGTATCTACACAACTGGTGAAAGCATTCGGCATTAAACGGTTGAATATTTACTGTCTCGTCCAGACTGTGTCCCCTGCAGAGAGACAGAAGCGCTCCTGGGGAGGGGGGGCTGCCATACGCCAAACACGCCCGGCCCGCCTGTGGCCTTCCTCTTTAAAACTGATCTCTGTACTGCTAGCCTGCCGCCCAGCTTGCAGTGACTCTTTAAAGCCGCTCTCAGCTCAGTTCACATCGAGACAACATAATGCAGCAGCAGAGTACAGTGGTGTACAGTACAGTGGAGCAGAACAGTGTGGAGGAGGAGTAGGGCTGAACACAGTACAGTACATGAGTGAGCTGGGAGCTGTCTGCAGGCCAGTTCAGGTCAAATGGTGTTAAAGAAGGTGGTGTTAACACAAGTTGTGTCCAAAATCAAATCATGAACAAAAATAAAAACAACCCTAAGGAGAAGCAATTCATGAGGACGTCACAAAGAGTACATTTGTTTTTCTCTCTCTTTAAAACGAGTTAGTTTCAACACAAAAAAGGAATATTAAATAAAAAGAAGAGGGTTAACAGACAGGGATAGACCAGAGATTGTTGACCTTGCAAACAGGAAACTGGAAATGGAGGTCCGTCATTGTTATGTATTCCAGAGCGGATGCCTTCTAATGGGAGCTTTTCAAAACAAGGATTATTAGGAGCGGGGAGGATGATAATATCAACTTTATAGGACACACTAAACTAAATTGTGTATGTAATTGTAGCCTATTAAAACAAAATTCATTCAAAACAGAAAGCGGCCTCCCTAGTGTCTAAGTAATTCTTACCCTCCCTCCTCCCCAAAAAGTATGTCTAGGATGTGTAGGGGAGAGGGAATCTGAATAGGAGAGATGGGGGAGGGAGAGCTCAGCGAAGCGCGCTGGGGCCACATTTCTCACCCGATTAGTACCGAGCCACTGGCCGATCCCTGTTTGAGTCAGGGTCGCTGGGCATTGGCTGCTCCTCTCATTCACATAACATTATGACTGTACAAACCACGGCCCTCATTAATGAAGCCTGGAGAGAGAAGAGGGGGTGGGGGCTTCCGCCTAGGCCCAGCTTCAGCATCTAGTCTACTCAGCAAAGTGAATGGCCTCAAGAAGACTACAGTCCACACTAGCTGCTAGAACAAGAAATAGAAAAAAGCAATTGGGCTAAAAGGGACTGATTTGTCACTAATAAGCCAAAGCTTCTCATCCCCATTTGTTTCTGGGTGGGTTGTGGTTGGGTAAACCTGTGCTCGCTGCCTACCTGGGGCAATAAAAATGTGCACTGAATGTTGGACACAAACAGAGAAAGTGACTGATAATGGAATGTCAATTTGAAAAGAGCTCTTTATTAGAGATGTAAAAATGAGACATTTACAATAATTAAAATAAAAGTTATGAATAATTCTGAATAGGAATGTATGAATGGGGAAGGAGGGAGATTTATGAGAGTGAATAAAGGGATGAAGTCTAAATTCTCATGTCTGCCATGGCAAAAGTCTCACCTGAATCCCCCAGTGTCTTACTTTGACTGTCAACTGTCAAATATCATCCATTTCTCTTTCAATCTACCACTTTTGAAAACTGAGCTCTTGCCCTTTTATCGCTCAATGTACAACTTTTGAAGCTCACAGAACTCTATCACCCATCCCACCTATCATGTACTGAGCTTCAGCCATGGCAGCACTGCGCTACCCTCTCACCCTCCATGTAGAAACTTGTGCCATGACCAGTTCGGGGGGGGGGGGGGGGGGGGGGGGAATCCCCACTTGCCAGAGAGGGCAGTAGTGGGGAGGGGCAGAGGAGGGGGGGGGGGGACTGCGTTCCCAACGACTGAGCGTTACCTCTCTGGCCTTCTGGGCCTGCAGCTCGGCATGCCTCTGTCTCTCCAGCTCCTCCAACAGCTGGCGCTCCATGATGCGCTTGGCCTCCTCCACACGCCGCAGCACCTCCCGCTCTATCTCGTCCCTGCGTTTCTCCAGCTCCTCCTCCACCCGCTTGGCCACCAGCTCCTCCACGCGACGTGCCGTCTCCTCCTCGATCAGCTTCTCCTCTATCTCCACCTGACGGCTGCACGGCAGGGGTGGGGAGAGAAAGAGGGGAGGGTTGCTGACATGGTAGCAAATGTGACATGACACGATCAATGCATATTCAGTTACCGTTGAATCAATGTACCCTATAAGTCAGATTTCTACAGAAACAACCTCTGGGAGTTGTGCATTTGTAAGCTTATCAGGGTTATACAACAATTTTTATATAAAATGTTTTTATAACTTTGTGTTTCATTGATTTGGGATTGAATTGCAGCACATGGCACTATGGAATATGTACTAAACATGCAACGTGTGTGGACAAACAGATTTGCCCTATTGACTACAGACAGAGGCCCTGGACAACAGGAGATAAGAGGGAGTCCTGATGAGATAAGACATCCCCCCCCCCCCCCCCCCCTTTCGTCGGAGGAAGTGAGCGTGTCCAGAGCAGCAGAAGACTGGGGGGTAAAGCTAGGTGTGGGTCAGTCCAAAAGGCATGCCCGAGGGAAGTCGGTTCGTGCACATGAACACAAGGCATGCATTTAAACCATTTCAGCTGCCCTATCAAAAGGATGTGATCGTTGTCACATTGCTTCAGGCACGACTGAAAACACGACACTGTCCCTTGCTCTGATTTAATTTGGTTTAGTCAAACACAACAACCAGGAAAGCTAAAACCGGGGTCTTTGCTTATCTGGTGTCCATGTCTTTATTGGACATTGTGTGGCTGGTTAAGTAGCCCTGTGGTTAGCCAGTAAAAGGCCACACAGAAGACCAGGTGACCACTGTGTTGTAGGTATCCGGTGTCAATCAGCCACTGGCCAAAAGGTGCACAACAGCTGCTTTCCCCAGTCTTTCTTTCTCTGTCAGACCAATATTGCCTGCCTACAAACAACAGACAGGACGTGGGCATTATGCGAGGTGCTCGCTGAAGAAGAAAATATGTACACCCACAGACACCTACTACAAAAGTAGTCTTCCCCCAAACTGCACTATAAATTGTGTGACACCTCAGGGGTTTGCAATGTGCAACAAGCATGGATAATGCAGCAAGACAAGTGAAGGAATTTTATTGAGAAGCAAATATAACAGAGATGAAGGTGTCTGGTTGTTCATCGTTACATTTCTGGACTGGACTGTAGCTTATTATAAGTCACTCACTCAAAATGCTAATTTTGACTGACATTAGTAAATCTTAGTGTTGCTGGGGCCAGATGAAAGTCCTGTGGTTGGACTTCAGTGGTTGAGAGCCAGAGGGGCATACCTGACATTTTTCATTTGACAGGTGAGCAACTTACTGTAGTTGACGCCCCTCCCTCCCCATTCAACTGTTTCATTTAACCAGTGATTAGGCCTGTGTTATAAATATGAAATTACATTTTATTAACTCCATTTGGCAATAATGGTCACATAAGCCACAGCTTGGAGGCAGGATCTATACTGTTGACAATGTTTTTGAGGACACGTAGGTTAGCCAGATAAATCACTGTGTCGCATCATCACTAGATCGTTGAATTGTGATGCATGAGACATGACAGGCAATGTATAGTTACTAGATGCAAGATAATGGAATGTATACATTTCAAATCCTTTTATTAGACTAAAGAGGCAAGTGAATTGCAGGCAAGTGCCTCAATTAGTTAGCTGGTTGGCTAATGGTGCAGGCACTAGTGTTGCAGGCTTGCATAACAGATTTGGGCCTCCTCTCCCAAGACACGTAGCTAACGTTAGCTAGCCAGTTTACTAGCTTGCTAACTAACGCCTATGCCCGAGTGTATGGACGGATCTGTTAGCATTGTAGCTAACTATCGACTGTGTAGCATGAGAGTATTAGCAAGCTAGTTAGCATGTCTTGCATATTGGATAAAATATTCAGTTACGACTCACATCTTCCTCTGTCTTTCCATCTCGACCTTCTTCTCCTCCTCCTCTTTTCTCTGTTTTTCGTCCAAGGCGCTTCTCTTGCTCAACGTCCTGCCGAATATGTCGATTCTCTCCGGCGGTGTGACCGCTCTCTCCCTTTCCCTGCGGGTCGAGACTGTGGCTGACCGGGAACGTGAACGCGACTCTCTGCGCCGGTTCCTCTTCGCTTCACGGGACTTGGATCGCTTCTTGGACCTCTCCTTGTCCCTTGAACGCGACCGGCTCCGTTTTTTGCTGTGCTTGCTGCTTTTGGAGTGTTTGGAACGGGACGAACTGCGACTCCTCGAGCGACCCATGGCTAACGTTACCTCCTCAAGTCGAACGTTCCCAGTTAGCTAGTTCTATCGTTGGAAATAGCACAATAAATAGCACGGTGTTCCTCTTACACCTCACTACCTGCAATATTTGCTCAAAGTGTATTGCTAAAACACTCGTATGTCTCAAAAATATTCATTCAAACGTGGTTCTTATTCTGCCCTAATAACTTGCGGCGCTAAAGCAAGATGGCGACTAGCTCCTTTTTCCCACAATGCAATGTATTCGGCCCATTTCGACTATCTTCGGAATGAGCTCGTGCCTGCCTCGCCTGTGTTGAGTTGAACTCACCTGTGCTATATGCAGCATGATGGAATTTTGGTTAATAAATAATCAAAACATTCTTACAAAAGAATCAATCAAATCAAACTCGTTTGATAACATCAATGAGGTAAATTGACAGGAGTGCGGTCAGACAAATGATGTATATAAACCCTGGATTGCTGATGCTATGTATTGGCCATTGAAATACTTTTATTTTTTTTACAGTACTGTATATGCTTTGAAGCCACCGGTCGGCCATATTGGCACTCCCCAGTAGGCTCAATCCTCCATAGGAATGAATGGCATTCTATAGTATTTCAATAGAAGGGTTGGTTGTTTAGCAACAAAGCCGATGTGTCATCTATGGGGCAAAATAAACTGAGTTGGCATAGATTTTTGACAACATGTAAACTATATTTCATCTCCAATGTTTATTGAAAACATAAATGTGCACAATGAGCACTTGTTGTCTCTCAATTATCATTACAGTTGTTGGTTAGCTAGCTAGCGAATTTCAACCATATTAGCATAGTCAGTCAAAACACCTCAAAACAAGACATGGTATCAAAAATAAGATAAAACTAGTTGAAACGAGCCACCTACGATTCCCCACATGGCAGCTTCTTGTCATTGCTGTTTGCTACACACATGAACTTCTGCCCCATTGAAGCGTGAGCATCGTTTTCGTGATGTCAGCTAACCCGTCTATTAAATGTTTCATGGCCAAAATTACATGTATTTAAGTATTTTTGTTGTTTTAGTGGGGACAGTAACATTAGTCATCTCAATTATTATTTTTGATTTTTTTCATTTTTATGTTTAGCTCACAGAATATAACTGAAATGTATGCATTAAGGTGTCTGTAATATAATACATGTGGCAAAAACGAATGTAGACATTAATAAATGCATTTCTATAGCTTCCAAAATATTTGTTACACTGGTGGGGGAGTGCCAAGATGGAGGCACAGTGGCTTAAACACAGTGCCCCGTAAATAGCAATCTAGTGTACAGTGAGGGAAAAAAGTATTTGATCCCCTGCTGATTTTGTACGTTTGCCAACTGACAAAGACATGATCAGTCTATCATTTTAATGGTAGGTTTATTTGAACAGTGAGAGACAGAATAACAACAAAAAAATCCAGAAAAACGCATGTCAAAAACGTTATGAATTGATTTGCATTTTAATGAGGGAAATAAGTATTTGACCCCTCTGCAAAACATGACTTAGTACTTGGTGGCAAAACCCTTGTTGGCAATCACAGAGGTCAGACATTTCTTGTAGTTGGCCACCAGGTTTGCACACATCTCAGGAGGGATTTTGTTCCACTCCTCTTTGCAGATCTTCTCCAAGTCATTAAGGTTTCGAGGCTGAAGTTTGGCAACTCGAACCTTCAGCTCCCTCCACAGAGTTTCTATGGGATTAAGGTCTGGAGACTGGCTAGGCCACTCCAGGACCTTAATGTGCTTCTTCTTGAGCCACTCCTTTGTTGCCTTGGCCGTGTGTTTTGGGTCATTGTCATGCTGGAATACCCATCCATGACCCATTTTCAATGCCCTGGCTGAGGGAAGGAGGTTCTCACCCAAGATTTGATGGTACATGGCCCCGTCCATCGTCCCTTTGATGCGGTGAAGTTGTCCTGTCCCCTTAGCAGAAAAACACCCCCAAAGCCTAACGTTTCCACCTCCATGTTTGACGGTGGAGATGGTGTTCTTGAGGTCATAGGCAGCATTCTTCCTCCTCCAAACACGGCGGGTTAAGTTGATGCCAAAGAGCTCGATTTTGGTCTAATCTGCCCACAACACTTCCACCCAGTTCTCCTCTGAATCATTCAGATGTTCATTGGCAAACTTCAGACGGGCCTGTATATGTGCTTTCTTGAGCAGGGGGACCTTGCGGGCGCTGCAGGATTTCAGTCCTTCACGGCGTAGTGTATTACCAATTGTTTTCTTGGTGACTATGGTCCCAGCTACCTTGAGATCATTGACAAGATCCTCCTGTGTAGTTCTGCGCTGATTCCTCACCGTTCTCATGATCATTGCAACTCCACGAGGTGAGATCTTGCATGGAGCCCCAGGCCAAGGGAGATTGACAGTTATTTTGTGTTTCTTCCATTTGCGAATAATCGCACCAACTGTTGTCACCTTCTCACCAAGCTGCTTGGCGATGGTCTTGTAGCCCATTCCAGCCTTGTGTAGGTCTACATTCTTGTCCCTGACATCCTTGGAGAGCTCTTTGGTCTTGTCCATGGTGGAGAGTTTGGAATCTGATTGATTGATTGCTTCTGTGGACAGGTGTCTTTTATACAGGTAACAAACTGAGATTAGGAGCACTCCCGTTAAGAGTGTGCTAATAATCTCAGCTCTTTACCTGTATAAAAGACACCTGGGAGCCAGAAATCTTTCTGATTGAGAGGGGGTCAAATACTTATTTCCCTCATTAAAATGCAAATCAATTTATAACATTTTTGACATGCGTTTTTCTGGATTTTTTTGTTGTTATTCTGTCTCTCACTGTTCAAATAAACCTACCATTAAAATTATAGACTGATCATTTCTTTGTCAGTGGGCAAACGTACAAAATCAGCAGGGGATCAAATACTTTTTTCCATCACTGTATATACAAATCATTGGGTCAGACCTAACCAAATCATCATCCCACTGAATTTGCCAGTGAACTCCTGATGGAGGTCACCTGATCTGATGTTCCCCCAAATCAAATTGGAATTTTTCCACGTGATCTCTAACCAGGGCTGTGTTCAATACAAAAAAACGTAACGCAACGTTAAATTAAACTGAAACGGTGCTGTTCTGAACGACTAGTTGAAAAACGGGGAGAGGTTGGGTTGTGGGGTCAAAATGCAGTGCTGCACATTAAATAAGTCACTCATTGCTTCATACCGCACCGGCCACATCCACCAAACGGAGCAAACGTACCTAAAAGGGCGCGTTCTTCTGCCCAGGTGTTGCTGACACATGCCAAATCTTACAAAGTCTGGATAGGTATTTTAAGTATCAGCTAACCACATCATATGTTATAGCAATCTGTCAGTCGATGACATGGTCGATGACGTGGCACACAACCATTGGTTGATGCATGCAACATCTGAGAAGTGGAACGCGACCAAAGTCTGTTCAAGAACGTTGAAGAACATTTTGGGGAAACATGTCATCATTCAGTACAAGCCGTTACACAACGTAGCAAACCTTTACCCGAACTGAATGCACAGACAACATGGCAGATTCAAACAGGAAGGATGACGGTAAGAGACAGAAGAGAAAGCGAGACATTTCATAGGCTCCCTTTTTCAGGTTCATATACAGTCAATGAACTAAGTAGACCAGACCCAGCTGCTATCACATTGGTGCCTATGGGAGAGCCACCCCTTAAAGATGCCCTATGCAGAAATCGCTTTGCCATTTCCAGGTTGATAAAATTCTAATAGTTCGCCAAATTTCAGTTTATATGACAAAACAAGCAAGCATAGTGTAGAAAATCATTGTACCATCTAAACCACTGTGAAATATATTTTCCATTATAAAAAATATTATATTTTTAGCTGTTTGAAGCTGGTGTACAAAACTGAAATTAAAAGACGCAAAAACGAAACTTGAGAAGGTAAAGCATAGAAATAGCACAAATAGAACAGATCTACCGCTTCTTAGACTTGCTTTCAATGAGAGTGACAGATCTATAACCAGTGGTGTAAAGTCCTTAAGTAAAAGTACTTTAAAGTACTACTTAAGTAGTTTTTTCGGGTATCTGTACTTTACTTTACTATTTATATTTTTTACAACTTTTACTTTTACTTCACTACATTCCTAATGAAAATATTGTACTTTTTACTCCATACATTTTCCCTGACAACCCAAAGTACTCGTTACATTTTGAATGCTTAGCAGGACAGGAAAATTGTATAATTCACGCACTTATCAAGAGAACAAGTGGTCATCCCTACTGCCTCTGATCTGGCGGACTCACTAAACACAAATGCATCTTTTGTAAATAATGTCTAAGTGTTGGAGTGTGCCCCTGGCTATCCATACATTTTAAAAACAAGAAAAGGGTGCCATCTGGTTTGCATAATTTAAGGAATTTGAAATGATTTATACTTTTGCTTTAACTTTTGATACTTAAGTATATTTTAGCAATTACATTTACTTTTGATACTTAAGTATATTTTAAACCAAATACTTTTAGACTTTTACTCAAGTAGTATTTTACTGGATGACTTTCACTTTTACTCTAGTAACTTTCTATTAAGGTATCTATACTTTGACTCAAGTATGACAATTGGGTAATTTTTCCACCACTGTCTATAACACACATTTCTATGTGAATTTGGTCGGGTCGCCCAAAAAGTGACATATTGCAGCTTTAAGTAGACCTGAACTGTGACATTTTTCCCCCCAATGGTAATCAGCCTTTATGGGATATCTTCATTTATCCACCGTCTTTGATGTTGGTGCAAGCAGAATATTTTTTGGTGCTAGGTGGCGGAATCGTGTTATTGGAAACGAAGGCTATTCTAAGGGAAGCCCTGGTTGTGGCTAGATATGTTCAAGTGGCTTTGGGGCCAATTTTAGCATTTTAACTAACCCTAACCCAGTAAGCAAAATTACGTTGAAAATATGTGCATTTCAGGTGCTGAATGAAAGGTTAGAAGAAGCCTTTTCCGGACTTCAAAAATACGTCATTTACAGACATTGAAAATATGTATTTTTCAGTCATTGATTCTATGGACAAATTTCAACAGAGCATACATTCTCAATTAAGTAAGTATCATGTCACAATAATAGAGGAAAGAGGAGCCAACTGAAGATTGCAACAGAATATGTATTATTGCTCCCATCTGTCACATGCAATTATGTTAGCTTTTTCAAAAGCTTTAAAACTTGGCAGCGATTATGTTCCATGTAGTCCAACCAAGTTTGAACATCACATTA